TTTTGGTTTTTGAGTTTTTGGTGAAATTTGGCAGTGTGGCACAGTAAATGGTGGTTATAGACTTCGCGCACCATATTATTTTACGCGTGTTGTACAAAGAAGCCCCATTGTTTTTTTGACACGAACTAATTTTTTTTTGGAAAACTAATTTTTAGAAAGATGACAAGAAAACGTGAATGTCATTTGGTATGGCTTTCTTAAAGAAGACAAAGACAAATAATTTATTAATAGCTAGTGGTACATCTTTTTTGTGCCTTCTTTTTTATAATTCTATAAATGTATTATTGGAAATAAAATGTGGAGCAGAACTTTATGTATCTTTGGTAATTATTACAAGATTCTTATCATGATAATAAATGGATGATTGGTATTGTAATCAATATTAACATTAATATTAAATAATAATAAACAGATGATGGGGGTAAAGGAGCATGACTGACTGTTTCAGAAGGAACAATTCGATATGTAATGTTTGATCATAGGAATTGGCAGACATTAAAGCATTACAGTCATTCTTTAATGTTCCTCGTGTTCATAAGGCTAATTTGACCAGTGTGCCCCGATGATATGATAATGCAATTAAATTTTCGGGGAGGGGACGTGGCTCTGGAGTTTATCGAAGTTGCATCATTGTCAAGGATGCTTTTGCAAATTCACCTAACCTTCTCTCGTTACACTTGAGCTAGCATTAATTAGATAAGAAAGGTTTTCTGCAAAGATCCTATCTCTATGATAAAGATGGCTGACTCTGTAACCAAGAAATTGCAACCCTGGAGGTTGCAGAATTTTGACCAAATATGTAATTGGATCTAAACATTATAATATGGAAGAAAATTATTATACATTATTATTTTATCCAGGAATGTTGCAGGGCAGATGTGTTACCATAACAAAACAAACAACTCAAGTTGCAAACTAATGATGGTGGCTGAAACTAACCCATAGTTTAGGCATTTAGGCAATTTCGGTTTAGGCCTAGTTTCGCCCATGAAGTTTTTCTGGCAAAATTGGCAAAACTTAAAAATTGCCTAAACCGTGGGCGAAACTCCTAAACCATGGGCAAAACTCCTAAACCGTGGGCGAAACTCCTAAACTTGGGCGAAACTCCTAAACTGTGGGCGAAACTCCTAAACTGTGGGCGAAACTCCTAAACTGCAAAACTTATTAATATTAGTGTTTAAATTTCTACTATTCATGTAATGACCTGGATTCTTAAATAAGCATTTTCTCGTCAATGTCCAACTACAACTTTGTCTGTTTATTTTTTGCTTTTTTAATGGTGGTGATAGACAAAACAGAACAATATAGGGATGTGTTAAATTAATTTTATTATGTAAATCTACACAATTGATAAATTTTTTTTCTTCATTATTTTATTTTAAATACATTCATTCATTAATTAAACTTTAAAAATATGGTTTTAAAAGGATTTTGATAGCATTGTTAAAACACACACAAATTCTTTCGTTCTTTTGTCCATTTGGAACAATGTTTGGGACTTGAATTCCTAATTGTCATCTCTGTAATAAATGATAATCAATCATGCAGAAAATTAATTATTATCTTCCCACATTATTATATTTTTTTTTCTTATCATATTTTCACAAATGTCAAACCCAATTACACCTGATTCTTCAAGTTCTAATACTCAACAAACTTCTCTTTCGCCTCCTCTATCTTTTTCACATTCTCTTTCATCTTCTCCTCCATCGCTTTCTCTAACACCTATTAATAATGAAATAGATACACAAAGAAAAAAAGGTGGA